AACGGGGAAACACTAATAACCCAAATAACCCCAAATATGGGCCTCTCTAATAACGCGATTTAATTTTCAGCACTTAAATCGAATTATTAAAGAAAACCACACAGATATAAATTTCTTGAAGTTTAATGGCGAATAATGGCCATGGCAGCACTACAATTTTCAGTTATTTAAGCAAGTACATTTAGTTACTGGTTACGATCGTAACCAAGGTTACCGACCCAAATACATTGGGCGATTTTGGCAACCCAAATGGCAAATGGCAAATACATGTAAATGAAAATTCAAAAGAAATTGTCAAATATAGAAATGAATATGAAATAGGCAAATATACAAATGAATCTGTTAAACAACCTACTGGCAAATACACCATGTAATACATTGCAAATGTTTCATCCAGTCTGACACAAATAAGCAAATTGAAATTTCACACATATTGAAAATAATTATGTACAGTTGTAGCGAGCCCTGGGAACAGATGCTCACTAAATATAACCCTATTTAAGTTCAGCTAAAGATTGCGCCAATGGACACTATGTGTCCACCGCCACAATGGCGGTAGCTGAACGCTAATAACTAAAATGCCCCCAACCATCCCCAATCCCTTTCTTAAGAACGGCAGTGCACATAAATTGCATACTAAGACAATTAAATGAGTATAAAACAAACACATTAGTTACATCAGAGCATCAGTGTCCATTTAAATGTGATTTACATTATTTAGTCAGTGAAATCGAATGCCATGGCCATTTTAAGCAGGAAAAACACCCACCCCTGACATTATGAAATTGTGCAAATCTTTCTTCAAAGTTTCAACAAATATCTTATTGCCTTGCTCTGACAAGTGCACCCCATCCTCTTTAAGCAAAGTGTGACCAACTGAAGTGAACTCTGGGTAACGAATATATCCCCCTTGATGTGCCAGAAGTTTCGTTGCAACAAAGCTATTAACTCGAACCCTTGCTTTATTAAGAGCCCTGTTGTCCGTAGCATTACGCCAAATCAATCTAGGTAATATCTGAGACCAAATAATTTTAGTGTTCGGTAACAGAACCGTAATTGAATCTAAGGAATCATTTATGCTGTAACGCAAAGCACATGATGGAATTTGACCTATGTCGTTGCCCCCACAATGTAGAACCAGATATTGTGGGGGATCTTCATACCTTATCATTAATTTGATTTTAGGGAGGAGATGTCGCCATCTCATGCCTCCTTTTCCCTGCCACCAGATATTAGCCTTCAATGTGGATAACCCAAGGTTGGACCCCCCATTTTGTCTAGCATAACCAAAAGCATGCCATATTATTGACGATCCAACAATCCATATTCTTACTTCCTCTGAAATATATGTAAACAAAATTGAATATATATTTAAAATAACATTTTCCAGACTGGTATTAGAAAACCTATCAAGCTATTAGGTTTGAGGTGCTAGAAAGTAATACAACCAATTGAATCTTTAGCCATTTATCAAATTTGAGGTTGGTATTCTTATATATCTCTTGTAAGCTTTCGATCCCCAACGACCCAACTCTTGAATTTGATCATCTGACATGCCGTTAATAGAAGCTGTTGTGGCACCACCTATCCTAAAGGAATGTGACTTGTACTTATTATTGTCTACCCCAATGCATGACAAAGACTTTTTCAAAATGGCATTGAATTGATAGCGTGTTAATGGTGACTTATCGAAGTGACAGAAAAAGGGGCCTTTAGTCACGGGACGTTGAACTGAATATTGTTTTAGTAGCTTGACTGGACATATCTTTCCCTCAACTGCAGGTAGAACCAAAACAACCCCTTTTCCAAACTGGTCAGTTTTAGAATGAGACAAATGAATTTTAACATCTGAATTGTCCCGGGAGAATTGGATGCTTGTGGCATTCAAGGCATGAGAACTACTACTTTACTTACTATCTAAGACCAACTCCCCAACCCTAAATAGGCCAAAAAATGAGCATGAAAAAACTGCTGAAAACAATGTAGTTTCATAGGATGATCTACAAACAATTGGGAGTACATTCAATATTTTCCCCAACAAATCTGGTGTAATTGGCAATCTAGCATCTACTGAAGTTTGCAGTCTTGACATGCCTACCACCATCTTTTTGATAACAAAGTTTTGGGTGGGGTCTCGGTTACCATTAAGTTTACATTTAAAGCTTATACCTGACAGATATGTCCTTACAGTAGCAGAAGACAGACCCTTTAATGAACAACTAGCTACGAATTCTATAATCTGTTTTTCATCAGGAGGCCAAATCAGATGTAACCCACAAGATAACCTGAAACGATCAAATTCAACTAAACCTGTCTGATAAGCAAGTCTTGTATTTGCTGAAATGGAACTCTGAACTAATCTGTCAAATTCAGTCTGGAGATGATGGTTTGAAAGGACTCTGGAATTGATGTTGGCTCCAAGTCCGCTAGGGGTGCAAGTGACCGAAAACGCTGAAACTGACAACGAGACAGAGCATCAGCAACCTTATTATGAACACCTAAAATATGACAAGCCTTAAACTGTATATTGTTTAACATGGAATGAAGTACCAGGGGACGAATTAAGCACATAACGCGCTTAGACCTAGAAGATTTTTTTTTTCAAAATTGTTACTAATGCCTAGTTAACATGGAAAACTATTTTTCTGCTGAATAACTGACTTCCCCAAGCATGAAATGCCAAAACAATTGGAACAAGTTCAAGAAATGTGATGTCCCTGATTACTTCAGTACCAGCCCACTCACTTGGCCACTTAAAAAACAACCAATGATTCTTAAAGAAAGCACCACAACCTAATTCTGAATTCCCTGCACTGTCAGTAAATAATTCGAGTTGATCATCATCTACCCAGTCAATTTGTGGAAAGTAACAGCAGCCATTGAACAAATCTAAAAATGTAAGCCACACACCCAAGTCCTCCTTAACTGCCAAAGAAACCCTGATAAAGTGATGTGGTTTACAGACCCCTTGCATGATGTCATAAATACGCCTAGTGAAAGCCCGTCCTGACGGAATGGCACGCAAACAAAAATTCAACAAACCTGCAAGAGCCTGAAATTCCTTTAGAGTAGCCTTCTTTCTTGACATAAAACTCTTGATCAAATCCTTTAAACTATTTAACTTATCAACTGGGATTCTTATCATCATTTCAACTGAATCTAACTCAAAACCCAAAAAGGTCAGGGAAGTTGAAGGCCACACTGTTTTATCATCAGCTAAGGTGACACCTAACTGCTCGCAGAGCTCCACAAACAATGACATAAGTTCATTACATGCATTGCTACCTGCCCTACCAGCAAACAAAAAGTCATCTAAGTAATGCACTACAGATTTCTGACGCTTCAATATCCATTCCAAACCTGATGAAAATTTCTCAAAAAGACTACAAGACACTGAACATCCCATAGGCAGGCATTTGTCAAAGAAAAACATATCATTTATTTTAAAACCTAAAAGCTCAAAATCTGACGGGTGAACAGGAAGCAACCTAAATGCAGACTTTAGGTCCATTTTACCCATCAAGGCCCCCTTACCCAAAGAACTTAGTAACCAAACAGCATCATCTAATGAGGAATAATTCACTGAGGAGAAAGATGGATCAATAAATGAGTTAACACTTGAGTTTTCAGGATAAGATAGATGATGTATCAACCTAAATGAGCCATCCTTTTTCGGTACTAAACCTACAGGTGAAAACCTTAGATTGGGAAAGGGTCTTGAATGGAATGGGCCTGCAACTCTTCCAGCATTAATTTCTTTAAATACTTTTTCCAGAATTCCAATCTCATTATCTCTAGCTGACTTTAAATTAGAACAATTAGTAGCTACCCTTGGACCATTGTAAATAAGTTTAAAACCTTCAGAAAAACCCTTTAACAAAATTTCTGAACTCTTCCTATCATAATCAGAGTTTTGTAAATAAGCTTCAAGAACTTCCACTTTAATTGGGGAAAAACCTAGGCCCTCTAAATTGTGGTACACCGGGGAATCGTGCTCTAGGCTGGGGTGGTCTTGATGAAGGTCCCTGGCTCCTGTATTGTAATGGGTATATTTGACCTGAAAAATCTCTAGAAGCATATTGATTTTAAGCAGACGGGCCTGTACACATCACTGATGGATGAGGGCCGCTACAGCTCAAACATTTATGTAAATAATGGCAATGCTGTTTTACACAAACCCCATGATTGTTATAGTCATAGCATTTAAGAATACGCCCCCCTACTGAAGGTTTTTGCACAGGACCGGTAAACGATGGTACCATGTACATTAGCCAAAGCTCCTGATCAACTATTCCCCATGAAGCACTTGGATTTTTAGCAATTCTCATTCGAAATTGCTCATCATAAAATTTCCACCCTATACCAGTGCATCTACTAGCCCCTAGACGAACAGTGTGGATGTACTTAAGCAAGCCAAAAATTTTTGTAGGGTGTACTGTGGCATATATTGATGAAAAAATCAAAAATGCATCAGTCCACTGCTGAACATTTGTAATTCTAACTGTAGCCCGTTTCGGTTCAATCACTACTTGACCATTAGAGACCGTTAGTGTTTGCTTACCATCCATCGGGACCGGATTGGATAGAAGCTGACCTAAATCAATGTATTCACCCTTAACAATTTTTTGTTTGATCGATTCTGTAACATTTGCCCCCAAACTACCGTATATGCTATCGATCTCATTACCTGTTGTATCTAAATTGACCTCTGGCTCAGGTTCCTTGCTGGAACTAATGTCCTGACAAGCTGGCCATGCTTGAAGTAGTAATAATATCTGTACAGGGCGTGTTTTCCTCTATTGGGGTCACCGATCCCCTTTTTCTTTTGGGTCCACTTGTAGTCGATGCTGGCACTGGGTTGGCAGCGGATTTCCGCTTCGCGGGCTTGGCAGCCGGTTTACCTCTAGGCATTTTCTGAAACTACCGACTTTAGAGTAATAAAGTGATTCCCAAGACAAAATACTTTAGGTAAAATATTATGTATATTGATCAATAAAACGACAACAAATGCCTTACACAAATCTCTGCTGGTGAAGATGGTGGCCTGCGCCTCGTGGTGCAAATTCCGGAAGAGGGAGAATAATTACACAGGCTCCCAAGCCCGACCTCAAATGTAAAAATATAACACCCCCCTCAAATACACTACATTAAACCCCCCCCCCCCATTTTGTGGAGGAATGACCCAATTCCGACAAGGCGCAGGCCATTTACAATATCATTTAGGAACAATTTTACATAATAGACAAGGAAGGTTACCACCTAAAAATGTACAATACCAGTTAATTGCAAGATGTGTATATAAAAAGTCTTTTAAACATCAAATTGTCTAAAAACACAAATGAAAAGATCCTCGGCTGTGTTCCCGACAGTCAGATCAGCATCATTGCAGGCTCCTCCGGACTTCCTGCCCCTGGCGCTCTGCTCTCCCGGACTATCTGGCTCCGGCGCCCTAATATTGTATGGGTCCTCCCTGGACTCCCCAAAGCGTATCTGATTCTTGTCACAGGATACCCCGCTCACTCAAGGGAGCGGAGAATGACGTAACTGTTGACCGAACAGGATGCTGAAATTCCTCACAACCTGCTCGGCCAACACACCAACTTCCACCTGACGGACCTCCGCCACCCGTCGGTAGATTACCCCGATTTGACCAGGGGTCATCTCACCCTGATCAACACCGAGGTGGGGGCTGTCCGTCTCAATTAACAGTCGGTCAGTGGGGATCTGCCTTACTCCCGGGAGTTGCCCCCAGGTGAAGTGCTGGATCAGCCCACTGACCCCAAAAAATACAACACGCCCCGTGGCCAACCATTCGTCCACCTGGGAAACTCCCCCAGTGAACGAATGGAGGTATAACGGGACCCACAAGGGAGTGCGTACTTGATCCAGCAGGTGCTGGCAGTCAAGGAGCGGCTCCTGGCCCATCGGGTCAGAAGGTGCTCCCCTAAGGTGGAGTAGCAAAGGGGTGAGGGGAGTCGCCAAGCGGCAGAATTCACCCAACACCCACCTCTGGTGACCCCAGTTTGACCCCCTAAAGTAATCGAGGCCCACTTCCCCGATTACCCAACCATTCCCCACACACCGGTCTACCAGCGACCGAATACTACTAGCAGTTACCCCTGCCACCTGGGTTGGGTGAAAACCAACAGCCGTCACCCACCCTGGCTCTGGGGAAGTATCGGTGGGTGGAGTCGGGCCATCTACATAGACTGCACACTCCCCCAATGACCTGTACAGGGACATCAGAAACGCCTGGCAGGTGTGCAATCTCTTCTTTGAGGGCCGTCAATGCCAACCTCACTGACATCCGTGTTGGGTGCCAGTGAGCGTCAATGACCTTCACGGTCACTGGTTCTGGCTGGGTCTGGTACCCAGTCCCGGGAGCTGGGCGGACCTCACACTCGGACTCCCAGTCTTCCCTTGGGATCGGGTAGACCTGCTGTGCCCCTCTAAAAAATGGATGATCACTCCTCACCCTCTGCACAGACTGTGCAGCAGGAGCTCGGCGATAGGGCCTATCCTGCCACGGTCGCCGAAACTGCTGCCGCACCTCCGGGGTAACCCTATTCAGCAGATCCGCAATTACACGAGGATGAGCCAACATCCCCACATGTACAATGAGGCCCTGCTGCACCCTCTCCAAATCCAGTGGGGTCAGGGGGACCACCCCCAAATACTCCGCCAGTTCATTGGCCAGTTCATGCCATCTGGCCCCAAAACTCCATGACACCGGTTTAAAGCCTCTTTGGACTACGGCTCTAAGCTCATCTAATGCCCGCTCATCATCCCTGTCCTCCTGGGGCAGATGGAGCGAGCGGGCAATGTTCCTTAAGAACTGAACCATCCTGACGGGTTCTTCTATCCCCACCGGGCAATGAACATCAAGAACATGCCGGGCCACCGGCCCGGCACCAGTGAAGGTGGTGGGACAATCTTTCACAAAACAGTGCCTGATGCCCCGCCGCCTGGGAGGTTGGCGGGGAAGTGGGCAACAGGCTGCTCGTCTGCCTTGTCAGCCCCAGGCTGGTCCCCAGACTCCTCGGTCCCCTCCGACCAACTCTCTGCAAACAGCTGCAGCTCATCCTCCATAATCTTTCTTTTTCACTCCTGAAACATATAAAAAAAACAAATTAAATGACATGTTAACCCCGCTTCTACAGCGGGGTGCTTATGGTGCTACCTAATCCCCCTGTAAAATCACCCCCCGCCCAGAGACCCACTCAGCTTAGCCCTACACCCCTACCAACTTGCAATCAGGGCAGTGATAACTTGCCATCTGTTTTATTGTTGCTTCTGTTTCTCCCACGCAGCCTGGGTGAAACCAGTCTTTGCAAGTATCACACTGTACCATGAAACCGCGAGGGTTTTTGGTCTTACAGACGCAGTACTGGTACCGCTTGGATTTTGCCCGATACCGTTTTTGCCCCTGGTCCGCCGAAGCCTGGGGTCTAATTGACGAGCTTGGTTGCCCCTGACTTGTTCCAGACCTACTTCGGGTCCTCAAATAAGGCGCATCCCCACTTGTGTCTGCCTTACTTTGCTTCGGTTTTTCCGAGGGTTTGGGGTTCTGGGTCAAAGGTTGATTACGAGTACGAGTTTAATCGGTTATCGACTCCTGCTCCTCACGTGCCTTGTAATCTTAAATCCATTTCGGGATCTGGCGAGCATTACAAGCCTTGAGTTTGTCATGGTGCATGACAATAACATCCCGACGAGTGCGGATTGAGTAGATTGTGTCCAATTTGACTTCCAATACCACTCCAGGACCCAGCCAAACAGACTCGACCTTCTTTCCAGCATTCCGCCTCCAGTACACCAGATCCCCAACCTTGTATTTCCTCTCACGGAGGTGAAGGTCATAATCCCTTTTCATGGTCTTTTGGGCTGTTCGCAATTTTTCTCGTGCTACTTCATGAGATAATCTGAGCGACTCTTCGAGCCCAGCCACATATTTGTCAACAACCCCCTCCCCCCCATTTTGTAAAGGCTCCCCTGGGGGAGGTTTAAACATGAGACTGACTGGACTGTTAACTTCTCGTCCAAGCATGAGATGATTAGGGGTATGCCCAGTTTGACGGTTAACTGCCGAGCGCATTGCCCCGGCTAACAGGCCCAAGTGAGCGTCCCAGGCCTTTGGATCATTGTCAACATAACATCTGACTGCATCCATTAGGGTGCGGTTATACCGCTCCACTTGGTCATTACCCGATGGTCTATAAGGCGTGGTCCGCGATTTATGCATCTCAAGTAGATCACAGACCCTTCTGAATAGCTCGCTTTCAAAGTTACGGCCCTGGTCAGTGAAAATTTCAAAGGGGTAACCAAAACGCACAAAGAATTCGTTTATCGCCGCCCTGGCAGTCACTTCTGCGGTCTGGCATGGTAAAGGAACGCATTCCACCCACTTAGTGAAACTGTCCAACATCATGAGTATGTACTCATTCCCCAAATTGGTGCGAGGGAATGGCCCCAGGAAGTCTAAATGCACCTTCTCCATTGGACTCCCAGCCTGGTAACTTTTGAGTCCAGCTCGCGAAGGCAAAGAGCCACGCTTGTTTCGACAGCAGGTGTCACACGTAAGCACATACGTTTTTATTTCTGAACCCATTCTCCACCAGTAAAAGTTCTCTCTGGTCCTTGCCTTCGTGCGTTGCACCCCTTGGTGCCCTGAACTTGGGATGTCATGCACTATGGACAAAACGTCCTTCCGCAAACTCCTAGGGACTAAAAGTCGATCTGGGTCAGATGTATCCACTCTCCATATCACACCGTCATTGTCCAGTTTAAATCGGTCCCTTTCTAAATAGTAGCATTTTTCCTCAGGCCCTGACAAGACTAACTCGCTTTCTGTTGGTTTTGACCCGGATTTTAGAAATTCCATGAGATAACGTAAAGCAGGGTCCTCGCTCTGTTCTGCTTCTATCTCCTCCGAGCTGTAGGATGCCAAGGATATACCTGTCGCGCCCCCAGACAACTGCTGCACTGTGGGGTTCTGAATGGGCCCCTCAACCCAACACTGCGGGGCTGATGGAGCGTCCCTGGCAATAGTCATACATATTCGCGGTAGCCGAATATCTTCAGGATTAACATCTGGGGTAAAGCACTCAAGCGGCCCATCTACAATGAATCGTTGCACCACTGGAGCTAGAGAGCCAACCTCCATGTTGGTCGCTGACATAGAGTTATCAGGGCTTTTGCTCTCAGAAAACAACGAAGTTAGTGGTACCACATCATCTATCTCCTCGAAGAAATCATACCATCGCTCTTGGGCACGCCGACAGTACCGGCACCCCCCACAAGGCAGGTCTTCGAGACGAACCGACCTTCCTAAGACTTTGCAGGGCTGAACTACTTCCCTCAAAAGTGCGTCAGCATTAGTGTGTTTCTTGCCCGCGCGATGGACAATGTTCATATCATATTGGCTTAGCTCCTCTAGCCACCTTGCTATTTGGCCCTCCGGATGGCGAAAGTTAACTAGCCAGGTCAGGCTATGATGATCCGTTCGCACTATAAACTGCCGCCCCAGAAGATAATGGCGGAATTGCCTTGTGAATTTTACAACCGCCAAGAGTTCTTTGCGCGTAGTGCAATATCGACGTTGCTCAGCAGAGAGCACAGCACTTGCGTAACCTATTGTTCGCTCACATCCATCCTGAATCTGACTTAACTCTCCCCCTACCGCGAGGTCCGAAGCGTCGGTGTCGAGGATGAATTGCCCACTACTTGTGGGGATCGCCAGAACAGGCGGACTGGTAAGGCGTGCAACCAGCTCCCTAAAAGCCTGTTTCTGCTCTATGTCCCATCGAAAAGAAGCCTTGCCAGTTACCGCATACAGAGGGGCTGCGATTTCGGAGAAATGGGGAATAAAATTCCTATGATAATTCGCGAAGCCTAGAAACCTCTCAACTGATTTAGTGTTCGCTGGCACTGGCCAATCACGAACGGCTTCAATATACTGGTCGCCCATTTCTACCCCATCCGAGCTAATTGACCGTCCCAAGAATTCGAATTTCTGCCTAAAAAACTCGCATTTTTTCGGTTTGAACTTTAACCCATACTGACGGAATCTAGAAAACACCTGACGCATGTTATCCAAATGTGCCCGTGGTGAGGCTCCCAGGATGAGAATGTCATCCAGGAAGGCCAGAGCAATCTTCCAATTCAACCTCTGCAAGACAAGGTTGATTGCTCTGGCAAAAGTCGCGGGGGCATTACATAATCCAAACCCCATACGAGTAAATTCAAACAGTCCGTGCTTGGTTATAAAGGCCGTCTTCTTACGGTCCTCGGGAGCGATCTTAATCTGCCAATAAGCGGCATTGGCATCGAGCTTCGAGAACCACTGATTACCCTCTAGTGTGTCAAGACACTCTTCGATGAGGGGTAGCGGGTAAGTATCCTTAACGGTAACTTTATTTAGAGCTCGGTAGTCAACGCACCACCGTACACTGCCATCTTTTTTTCTAACTAAAACGGGGGCGGCAGCCCAGTCTGAATTTGAAGGCTGTATTACCCCCGCTGCCAACATCTTATCTAGGTGCCCCTTTTCTTCCCCCTGGAAAACGGCAGGTGTGCGTCGCATCCTCTGCTTAACAGGTCGAGCGGTTCCAGTTTCAATCCGGTACTCTAAGGCATCGAAGTTCCCCAAATCTAAGTCACTTGTGGCGAAGACATCGGCATACCCATTGATCAATTTTAATGCCTCCTCCCGCACCTCCGGTGGGGCATGAGTGAGGACATCTTCCAACAGGGTCTGAATATGCGACTGGGACTTTACCTGGCCTTCTGAACCCACCTGTCGCACAGTTGTGGGTGGCTGCCCCACCTCATGTGCAGGTGAAGCTGTGGCCAGCGATTCTCCTGCGCGAAAAATATGACTTCACGGAGTCATGTTTATGAGACATAATTTTCCCTTATCCCCCGTCTCGTTGAATGTGCGGGATGCAACTACACCGACCGGGAAGTTATTTGTCGGTTCTAAGATGAACTCAGGTAGCTCCTTCTCTATCTTGCAATCGATAATCCCCACCGACAAAGGAGGTAAACGTACTCGCCGGACTGCGACAGCCTGAACTGAGTTTGTGTTTGCCTTATGCATAGCTTGAATAGTCATGCTGCCCCCTACCCTTAGTTCACCAGCTCCACAATGCAACTGTACTTCATTTTCCTGCATAAAGTCGATGCCAATGAGCATATCGTCCTGTAGGGGTGCCATATACACCGGATGCTTAAGACGTGTGTCCCCTATCTCAATGTTCAGAGAACCCAAAAGGCCTACTGACATGACGGCCCCGCCTCCAGCAAGGTTAACGTCAATGTTAGAAAGGATTTTTGGAGGCGGAGACATTTGTTCATACATCCTTTGCGATATAAGGGTTATTTCGGCCGCCGTGTCAACAACTGCGCTTACTTCAAGGCCATTCACTACTATGGGTACTCGCCACGCACTTTCTCTGCACGCTAACCCACCAGACCTCACAGAGGGTATAACTCTTGTCGCTGCCCCCACAGTTGGGGATTTTGAGAAACGCACTTGTTTGCCCTCAGACCCCTTGTCTTGGTGCGAATTTGAAGGAGCTGACGACACGGGTCGGGGTCGATTTGGACACTCACGGCG